TAAATCTTAGAGATAAGTTCCTTGCCAGATATGTAATTATCAACAAATATGAATTTGTTGCTGTCATTTTTGTTATGTGCTTTTTTGTGGTGTCAATTTCTTTGTTCCATATAATTTTCTATGCTGAGCTCATTTTGTTTATGAATCGTGTTATCACTTCCTTCATTGCTATTGCTTTAGTATTTGCTAAATATTTGTGCCGGTCCTCTTTTTTTATTTTGATGTGAAGGTTTATCATTTTTCTTTGAGGTTACCCTGTGATTTATAGTTTTCTTCCAAGTTTAGAACAGTCCGTTCTACCTTGTAGTTGTCTTGACTTCCCTACCATCTAGAAGTTCTGTAATGGCACAGATTTTTTTTTTTCCCTCTTTTTGGTTTGTAGTTGTCTCATTTGTCAGTTGATGTCTCTGGTTTCCTGTTTACAATCTTGTAGGCTTATTCTTTGGATACTTCCATAGCTGGGTTGGTTTCTGGGTTATGTCATCATGTGTGTTAATGATCAGTTGTTGTTGGCTGTTATTGCTTCTCTGTCCAAAGGACTCCCTTTAACATCTCTTGAGAGGTTGGTCTGGTTTGAACAAATTCCCTTCATTTTTGCTTATCTGCAAATCTCCTAATTTCACCATCATATCTGAGGGACAATTTTGGTGGGTACATAATTTTGGTTGGAAAATTTTCTCTATCAGTGTTTTATATATACTATCCCATTGTTTTCTTGCCTGCATGGTTTCTGTTGAGAGATCCAAGCTTTGTCTTATTAGTTGCCCCTTGTAGGTAACTTTTTGTTTTTCTTGTGCTGCTCTCATGATTCTTTGTCTTTGGTTTTGGTGAGTCTGATGATGATATGTCTGGGTGATTTTCTTTTGGGGTCTATCCTGTTTGGGGTTCATTGGATGTCCTGAATGGATATATTCTCATCTTTCATCATACCAGGAAAATTCTCTTCCAACAAATCTTGGACAATTTTCTCTGTGGTTTTGCTTGTCTCTTTCTGTTCTGGAATTCTGATTACATGTAGGTTATTCCTTTTGATGGGATCCCACATGAACCTTAGGCCTTCTTCATTTTGTTTTGATCTTTTTTCTGATTTATCCCTTTCCAGAGAAGCTTTCAGGTATTAGCCTTCAATCTCCCTAATTCTGTCTTCTATTGATTCAATTCTGCTCCTTTGCCCATTCAATGTCTTATCTATTTCTGAAAATTTAGTATTGATCTTCTGGGTTTCTATCTGTAGATTTTGTATTCTAATTTTTAATTCTAACATTTCATCTATTTTGTCATTTTGTTCTTATATTGTCTCTTGAAATTTTTCTATGGTTTTCTCTGTGTTTCCCTTGATCTGTCTCTCAATCTGTTGGAAATACCTAACTATAACTCTTTTGAATTCCTTATCAGGGAGTTCCAATGCTGCCTCTTCCTCAGGGTTGTGTTTTGGGTTTGTATCCTGGTCTCTTGTTTCTCCGGCTTTATCTTGCTTCTTTGTGTGGACTGTGATGCTCTGTTGTCTCCAAGGCATTGTGATGTTTTTGTGTTTATATTTAATTGGTGATTGTATGTTGGTGTGACTTGTCCACGATTTTCATTTTCTTTGTTTGTATGTTATCTACACAAGCAGGGTACAGTGCTATGCTCCTCTATTTGCTAGTGGGCAGCACTTATACACTTATCACCTGTCTCATTTCCTGTTGTCAGGCTCTCATATGTCCCTGCCGACCTTGGGAAACAGAGCCTATTCTTAGGTCCCTGGAATCTGAATGAGAATGCTGTCACTTTAAAATCCAAAATGGTTGCCACTTGTAAGGATTCAAAATGGCTGCACCCTCAGTCACTTTAAATATCTAAAATGGCCACTGCTTGTAAACATTTAAAATGGGCTGCGCCCTAAGTCACTTTAAATATCCAACATGGCCACTGCTTGTAAACATTCAAAATGGCTGCCACGTGTAAACAATCAAAATGGCTGCACACACTCTGGATAGCTGGAAGTCAACAGCTCAGGTTGTCTCCCTCCTTGCTGTTTCCCTTCCTAGTCATAGGCCACCAGTGCAGTTGTCCCTGAAGCCCTTGGTGACCAGGGCTGATCTTTAGGTCAATTCTCAGGTCCCAACAGCACTTGGAAATATTCAGGCTGTTGGTCCCGTTAGAGTAGCTGACAGTCCGCAGCTCCAACTGTCTCTGTACTCACTGTTTTCATTCAGGTTTTTCCACTAGTTAGTGCCTAATCCACTTCTGTATAGTTTCTTTCAAAGCTCAGGGCTCCAGGATTATCTTCTGTATCTCTGTCAATTGATTTTTCTTTTCTTTGTTGAAGATCTGTGTCGCTTGTCTGCCTATTCCTCCATCTTACTGGAAGTCTCCTTCCCACTACTCTTTGAAGTAGAAGAAAAT